TGGAGGACACAGGAGGGAACGAGGAGGAAGCGGGCCGGAGACGAGTCCGGCGGCGGGAACACAGGACCGTAGACAGGAAGGTCAGCAGCGGCGGGGAGACACCGGGGAGCGGTCTGGGGAGGGAAGGCCGAGCAGGCGGAGAGCGGAACCGGCGGCGACTGTGCGGAACGCTCGGACCGCAGAGGGAGGACGACCGTGGCGAACCTCAACAGCAGCACCCCCAGAACCAACACCCCCAGAGCGAGACCCCTCCAACACCAGCGGCACCCCAGAAGCAGGACGAACACCCTCCTCCACGCGACAGCCCAGGGGCCAAGAGCGGCGGCGGCAGCGACGACGGCAGCGGCACAGCGGCGACGACGGCGGCGGCGGCGACGGCGGCAGCGGCTGCATCAGGGGGCGACTGCGACCGTGGAGGCGAAGACACCGGGGAGGGGGACGGGCACGGACGGGCCAGGGTACCACCAGAGTCAGCGACTCCTCAACGGGGACAACCGACGGGAGGGGAGTGACGTGAGAGACACCAGACGGGGCAGGGCGAGGCGGGGAGGCGCAGGGGCTACCGGGGAGAGGGAGCAAGGAACAGGGGGGGCAACCGGGAGACCTCGGTGAGGGAAGCGACGGTAGAAGGAGACAGACTCGTCAAAGGTGACGTCACGAGAGTGGAGGAAGCGGTGAGACGGGGGTGGTAAAACAGCCAGTCAGACGAGTCGGGGGAAACCAAGGAAGACACAGGGGACCGTGCGGGCAGTGAGCTTGTCCGTGCCAGAGGCACGAACGTGAGCAAGGCAGCCCCAGACGTGGAACGCAGACGCGTCACCAGGGGACCCGGTCCAAGGAGGGTCGGCGAAACCTGTGGCCGCTGAAGCGTGGCCACAAGTTAAGCTGGTGAGCAGCGTAGCGAACAGCGAACGGCCACAGAAAATGGGGGCATCAGCATGAATCATGGAGGTACGAGCAACCTCCATGACCAAAGCCAATGCGGCGCTCAGCAACCCCATTCTGCTGTAGCGAGTCCGGCAAGGTGTACGTCTGGGTGATGCCCTCCGCACGACAGAACTGTCCAAGCCGACCAGAGGCGAACTCGCCGCCACGGTCAGAGTGGAGATACAACACGGGGAGACTGCAGCGAAGACGCGCAGCCACAACCCACGGTAGAAGAACGTCGGGCACGTCGGGCCTTCCGCTCCAGAGGAAACACCGTGGTGTAGCGCGTCTAATCATCAACGAGCACAAGGAAGTAGTGCTCACCGCGCGGTCCGGGGACGGGGGCAGGGCCCCAGACATCTAGGTGCAGGGTCTGGAGGGGGGCAGTCGCAGGGCGCAGCGAGGAGGAGTGAGGAGCACGGCGGAGCCGACCCTCGACGCAAGGCGTGCACGGTGGCGCAGTCGAGGGAGGAAGGGCAGGGAGCGACGCAGGGAGACCTAAGAGAAGACCGTGCTGGGACATGTGACGCAGACGAGGGAGAGCAGGGTGACCTAAGCGGTGGTGCCAGAGAAAGGACGGGTGAGTGAGGGAACGACACGAGCAAGCTGCAGCGACCTGGGAGGACGCACCAACCGGGGGGGAAGCGGTGTTGAGGGTAAACAGACCGGACACCAGGTCCCGGGGAACGTCGCAAGAGGGGAACCTGAGACAGCCTCAGAACAGACAGCGAACCGCTCGTGCCCGGGAAACGTGGTGGTGACGCCGAGGTCCTGGAGACAGCCGACACCAACCAGGTTTCTCGAGAACGAGGGAACGTGGAGGCTTGTAAGGGAGCCCGAGGGAACTGCAGGACAGGGAAGGGACGTAAAACTGCGAGCAACGACAGGACCCGCAGAGGGGTCAGTGAGAGAGACGACAGCAGATGTAGCAAGCGGCGTGAGCGCGGAGCGGTCGCGGAAGAAGCAGGCAGAAGCACCGGAGTCGAGAGTGAACGACAGCGATGCAGTGGCGGAGGCCGGGAACGGGGCCGGTGCAGAGACTGGCTAGGCAAACTAGGCAGTCCTATGCCTGGCGCAGCAGGGGAAGCTATGCTACACAAGGGTGCAACACCTAAGCTGGAGAACACAGGATAATAAGATCCAGCAACACTAGCAGCGTCAGAATACAAAGCATGCAAAGCTGCACCTAACTGATCCATGTCTAACTCAAAGATCGGCACGCCCTGGCGGAGCAGGCTGTGCTAGTCAGGGAGGTCCGGGGCCGGGCCAAAGCGACGACGAAAAAGATCGTCAAGGCGGCAAAACAGCGGGCAGTCGGGTGCGGGCGGCGACACAGAGTGCCGCGAAGAGGCCCGGTCTGAAGCTGGTACTGGCAGGTCACAGCACCGGAGCCGCTGGTAGACGCCGAGCTGCGCGGGCCACCACCACGGCCACCACCTCCGCCGGTGCCAGGCCAACCAGGCGGGAGACGAGCCACTGCTGCGGCGGCTGCTGCTGGGGCGACGGCTGCTGCTGGGACGGCGGGGGCGGCTCGGGCTGCTCCTGCTGCGGCGGGGCTGCTGCTCTTGCCGACCAGTGGTAGTCCCAGCAGGCGGACTACCGTCACTACCACTAACACCACCACCACCACCTGCGCCACCACCCCGACCTCCCTGGCGACCACGGCCACTGCGGCGCGAGCGCTGCTGCGGGTGGACCGCAGCAGCCGTCTCGGTGGGAGGGGGCACCGTGGCGACCGCAGCCGAAACGTCAGTGAACGTGCACTGGGAGGGGGCACAGCCGTGAAAGATAGAAACTGCCGGCGCACCGCTCGACTGAGCGATAGTGCGCTGGCGAGTCTCGATCTCGGTGAGGGTGTCGACAAAGGCAGTGAGGGTGAGGTCAGCCGGGTGCTGGCTAAGGAAGTGATCGCGGGCACTAGCGAGGCGGTCCGGCAGGCGCATGGCGATGAAATAGAGCGTCATGCAGAAAGGAGGGGGGAGCGCAGTGAGCTGTGCAGCAGTGCTGGCAGTGCGATAGCGGGTCTCTATGGCACGCAGGTGAGCGGCAAAGTCTGCGACGGTAGGGAAGGCTGCAAGGTCTGGGAAGAGCATCGGGAAAAGCAAGCGACCAGCAGAGGCAGACGCGGGTGTGGAATAGCGGGCAATGACTGCGTCTAAGTAGGCTTTGGCCGTCGCAATGGTAGCAAAACGCGAGCGTTCAGACACAGGGAGGGCGTGGCTAATAGCAACCTGAGCGATTGCATCGCGGGAGTCCCAGACAGCACAGGCAAGTGCAGCAGTAGAGAAGGTCTCACGGGCATCAGAGGAGAGGTCAGCAGGGAGGCGAACGGGCGCAGGGGGGCGAGGGAGCAAACAATCGACATGGACAACCAAAGAGTGGCCATCCTGACGCTGACCTATAAGGTGGCGGCGGAGGTCAGAGAGCCAGGCGGCGAAGTCAACCGCGTGGCCCTCGGCGTCCAGTCGGAGCACGAAGTCAGCCATCGTGCAGGGTCAGCGGCACAGCTCCGCAGGAAGAGGACGGCAGCGCCCTCCAACACGACGGCCGCAAAACGGCGCCCCAGCACATGCGAGTAGGTACGAAGAGGCGCCGGCCGGTCAGGCACGGCGGGTGAGGCACGGGAGGTGCGGCAGAGCCAGGAGGTGCGGCAAGGCCGGGCAGGCGCGGCGGGGCCAGGCAGGGGCGGCGGGGCCAGGAGGCGCGGCAGGGCCAGGCAGGCGCGACGGGGCCCGGCAGCGCGGCGGGGCCAGGAGACGAGACGGGGCCAGGCAGGCGCGACGGGGCCTGGCAGCGCGGCGGGGCCAGGAGACGCGGCGGGGCCAGGCAGGCGCGACGGGGCCAGGCAGGCGCGACGGGGCCAGGCAGGCGCGGCAGCGCCAGGCAGACGCGGCAGGGCCAGGCAGGCTCGACGGGGCCAAGCAGCGCGGCGGGGCCAGGAGACGCGGCGGGGCCAGGCAGGCGCGACGGGGCCAGGCAGGCGCGGCAGTGCCAGGTAGCGCGGCGGGGCCAGGCAGGTGCGGCAGTGCCAGGCAGGCGCGACGGGGCCAGGAGACACGGCAGGGCCAGGCAGGCGCGACGGGGCTAGGCAGGCGCGGCGGGGCCAGGCAGCGCGGCGAGGGCCAGGCAGGCTCGACGGGGCCAGGCAGGCACAACGGGGCCAGGCAGGTGCGACGGGGTCGAGGAGGCATGAGGGGCCCAGGAGGGGCGTGACGGGCTAGAAGGCGCTGCAGGGGCCCAGGGGGGGGCGCGACGGGCGAGGAAGCGCTACAGGAGCCCAGGAGGGGCGCGACGGGGCCCAGGCAGCGCGATGGGGCCCAGTGGGACGCGACGGGGTCTAGGAGGCACGATGGGGCCCAGGGGGGCGAGACGGGACCTACGGGGCACGAAGGGGGGCCCAGGAGGGGCGCGACGGGGCCTAGGCAGCGCGATGGGGCCCAGGGGGGCGCGACGGGGCCTAGGAGGCACGATGGGGCCCAGGGGGGCGCGACGGGGCCTAGGAGGCGCGATGGAGCCCAGGGGGGCGCGACGAGGCCTAGGAGGCACGATGGGGCCCAGGGGGGCGCGACGGGGCCTACGGGGCACGAAGGGGCCCAGGAGGGGCGCGACGTGGCCTAGGCAGCGCGATGGGGCCCAGGGGGGGCGCGACGGGGCCTAGGCAGCGCGATGGGGCCCAGGGGGGCGCGACGGGGCCTAGGCAGCGCGGTGGGGCCCATGGGGGCGCGACGGGGCCTAGGAGGAACGGAGGGGGTGGCGGGGCCTAGGAGGCACGGGCGGAAGCGGTAGGTGGAGGGGAACCAACCTACGGGTGATACCATCTCAAAGGAAAACTGAATAATAATTGACTAGAAAGAATTGTACAAGGACATATATCTAAGGGTTGTACTCTCTAAGAGATGACCCTATACAGTCTATACAAACATTGTAGATAAACATGTTTGACACAGGAATCCGATCTGAGGCCATGGTAATTCAACGTTCCGTAATTGTGCAGTGCAGTGGAATTGGATTCTGAAACACTATTAGCACATGCCTGAACAACTAGCTCGCAGGCATAACATGAATGGACATCAAGCACGGATATAATGACATGGCCTGTTTCAAAATTGCTCCCTTACTGGTTCGCGTACAAGGGCCTGGCTGCTTCAGTATGTGCTTAGAGCACCCACAAGCACTAGTACTGAGACTGTAACCACATTTACGACTGGTGTGGTGAAACCACTGGCTGAACAAGGGGTGTACCGTGTAACTACCAGTGTGTGCCAAAATCAAACATCTTGTAAGTGTCACAAGGACGTGAAGCAGAGGGTCACAAGGATTCTACACTCATCATTTGGATTCCTCAGAAAATAAATGGCAAGACAAGCTGGGTGGTAGCATGTTTCAAGCTGGCATTGCAACAGCCTGCCCCTCAATACCTCCGTCTCCCTCCACCGCAGTGCTGCTGCTGCTACTAGTGGCTGGTGCACTGCTACTGCTTCCTGCGGCTCCTGCTGCCTCTGCGACTCGGGCCCTCATGAGGTTGCTGGAGTAGCCGTAGCCCAGCGATGAGCCACTCAGCGCAGAGAGCTGGGGGGAAAGAGAGGGGGTGGGGAGGGAGGGAGAGGAGCAAGGGAAAGGAGTGGGAAGGGGCTCCATCCATCCATCCCTCAAGAGGTTGCTGCAGTAGCCATAGCCCAGCAATGAGCCGCTCAGCGCAGAGAGCTGGGGGAGAGAGGGCAGGGAGAAAGGGAGACAGAGGAGCAAGGAGAGAGAATGGGTGGGGGCTCTATCACATAAAAACCAAGCTGCATAGGATCTCTTGTGCGAGGCAAGGGCAAACATAGAGTCTCGGCGCTGTGAGTGTGAAGTCTATTTTTGAGGCGCCTCAAAAATAGACTCCTCACGCATGGTTTATTCATAGAAAGTTTTTTCGTTGCTTGGAAAATTGGGTGTAGCTTATCAAAGCGTTTGGTGCGCACGCGGCTATCGAAGCTGCCAGCTGGCGAAGACTCGAGTTCAACTACTTTTCAAGACACCCTCGAGGTTTGAAGACGTGGCCCCTTGGTTTTTACTAGGTTGGCCTAGATTGGTCCCGATATTTATGGACATTGAGTTTGGTTCGGTTGGATGCTTAGTTTCTACTTAGAGGCTTTGCTTTGCTCATACTTTCTCATTGACACTGATGTAAGCTCGCTAGGGATGCCCGACGGCTGAAACATGCTTGTCACCTGTTTAATTGGTTGTGAAGAGACGAGCTCCGACTACTCCGAACTCACGTTTACATAAACATTTTTATAGTTTACTGTTTTTTCTTACTTGCTAACCTGTCTACTTGCGCCGCGCTCACTGGAAGATGTCCAAGGATTTGCTTACACTTACGCTTACTCCAGAAGACGCCAGCGCAGAAGACGGAAGACTCACAATCATTTTGCGCGAGACAGACAGCCCCGAGAGAACTTATGGGCGCAAGTCCAAGCGGCTTCACCACTCAAGGAAGCTGAATCTGCTCCAACTCGCGACACTTCGAAGCAAGACAAGCAAGAAGAATCTCCTCCCTCCATGGATGTTGAAGCCGATCCGAATGGCGCTCCGGCTGCTGCACCGACGGATCTCCTGACCATCGCCCCTGCTGTGGCTTCGAGCTCCAACCCGACAGTCGCCATCGACCAGTCTACTCCGATTCATGAACCTTTTAAAGGTTGGACCGCGGAGGCGGTCAAGTGGTTTCGGAACGATTTCAGAGCCTACTTGAAGGCGAAGTCGAAGCTGAAGATGAAGGCACTCGACAGCCAAGGTGTGATACTCCACAGTATCCGCACCAAAGTTGTCGAGTTTCAGACAAAGTTCTCTTCGATCCGAGAGAAGTCTGAAGTCTCCGTGGCTGCCATTCATCGCGAGTACCAGCAACGAATTCAAGCCGACTTCATCAAGTCGAAGGAACTGGAGGTTGAAGAGATCCTTACGGCATCCAACTCACACCTCACGGCTCTGGCGGCGAAGATCTAAGACCCATCAAGAGCCTAACTTCTGTCCCCGATTTGGCGATCTCCGACGTCACCAAAGAGAAATTCAGGAAGATCAAGGGACAGTGCATCGAAAAGGCTCGGTCCGACATCGCTACCGCTAAGGACGACATCAAAGTCCAGGAGCTGATGAAGCAGAGGAGACACGAAGCCGAGGATTTGAAGAAAGCTGCTGCCGTTGAGGAGATGGAAGGCATGGAACCAGAGCCGGCATTCATCGAAATCGCTCAGAAGTTTGTTCAGAAGGCGAAGGCCAAGCTCCGCAAGGAAGTCAAGGCGGAAGTCAAGGCGGAGCTCCTGTCTACCCTATCGTCACAGATGCGAACGATGGTGTTGGAAGCGCAGGGTGCTACGTCGACCCCCGCTACCGCTACTCCGAAGCCCTCTACATCGAAGAAGGCGGAGAAGAAGCGTGGCGGCAAGAAGAAGAAGCAAGCCGACCCTCCGAAGGACAGCAAGGGGAAGGGCCTTGAGACTACCACGTCGACATTGGATCTCTTGTGCGATGCAAGGGCAAACATTGAGTCTCGGCGCTGTGAGTTTGAGTCTGACCTCACGGTGGCGGTGAACGGCGGCGTGAGTCACTCCAAAACAAGAAAGATAACCTGGAAACCTGTGAGTCTGCCACATGACTGTGAGTTCTGCCAGGTGTCTCACCAAAAGGCAGACAGGGCTTACCTCTGTGAGCTCTGCCAGGTGTCGGCTTCTGAAGTCGTCCAGCGTGGCAGCGATATCCGCTGCTGGCAGCTTCGCCTGGGAGAGGGGAGGTTGGAGGCGAGATAAAAAAGGACAGGTAGAAGGAAAGAAGGAAAGATGAGGTGGCGTAGAGCAGGGAGTGAATGCGGCATTCCTCTCAACCACACCCCATCCCACCTCCACCACATCCCACCTGCACCCCATCCCACCTGCACCACATCCAACCTGCACCCCATCCCATCTGCACCACATCCCACCTGCGCTCATCCCCACACAGGGAAAGGGCAAGCATCCCCCCCAACCCACGGTGCCTCCTTACAAAACTCCCGCTGTCCCGCTGTCCCGCTGACCCGCTCACCCGCTGACCCGCCAGGCAGGGCGTACGGTACATTGCAGTAGGCCCAACCTTCCCGAGATTGATGCAGCAACCCACGTCGTGCGCACACACAGGGGCCGTGTGAAGCACCTCAACAGCGCACTCAGCAGTCCCCCCCCCAAGGCCGTCCTGAACCATCCCAAGGCCGCCTATACCTGGGCGAGCACAGCAGCAGCGGGCTGCAAGCTGGGCTCCAGCGTCTCGAGCAGCACAGCAGTAGCCCCAGCCTTCTGACGCGCCTCAACATTTGCCTGGTCAGTCTACTCACAGGCCAACCCCCTTGCATACCTGGGCGAGCACGGCAGCAGCGAGCTGCAGACTCGGCTCTAGCGTCTCTGGCACGACGGCAGTGGCGCCGGCCTTCTCGAGGTTGATGCCGTGGTCCACGTCGTGCGCACGCACAAACGTCTTCACGTGCGGAAAGTTCTTGCTCAGCGCCCACACCGCACGGTAGTTGGCGCCGGGGGTGTCCAAGGTGATGACAGCGGCTGCCGCCCGCTCCGCGCCCACCTTGTGGAGTACCTGGAGTAAGGGTGGAGGGAGGAAGGGAGGTTCTTGCTCAGCGGCCACGCCGCTCGGTAATGTGGTCACGACTGCTGCTGCTCTTTCTGTCCCCACCTCCTGGAGTACCTGGGGTGGAGAGAAGTGTGCAGGGGAAGGGGGAGAGAAAGGTGGAGAACGAGGATTGCAAGATGACTTCCCATTCATTCAGGTGAGGAGGAGAGGAGGAGAGGAGAGGAGGAGAGGAGGAGAGGAGGAGAGGAGGAGAGGAGAGGAGGAGAGGAGGAGAGGAGGAGAGGAGGAGAGGAGGAGAGGAGGAGAGGAGGAGAGGAGGAGAGGAGGAGAGGAGGAGAGGAGAGGAGGAGAGGAGGAGAGGAGGAGAGGAGGAGAGGAGGAGAGGAGGAGAGGAGGAGAGGAGGAGAGGAGGAGAGGAGGAGAGGAGGAGAGGAGGAGAGGAGGAGAGGAGGAGAGGAGGAGAGGAGGAGAGGAGGAGAGGAGGAGAGGAGGAGAGGAGGAGAGGAGGAGAGGAGGAGAGGAGGAGAGGAGGAGAGGAGGAGAGGAGGAGAGGAGGAGAGGAGAGAGAGGTGGGGAGGTGGGGAGGTGGGGAGGTGGGGAGGAGGGGAGGAGGGGAGGAGGGGAGGAGGGGAGGAGGGGAGGAGGGGAGGAGGGAGGAGGGGAGGAGGGAGGAGGGGAGGAGGGGAGGAGGGAGGAGGGGAGGAGGGAGGAGAGGAGGAGGAGAGAGAAGTGGAGGAGAGGAGGAGAGGAGGAGAGGAGGAGAGGAGGAGCAAGCGAGTGAGGGAGGGAAAGGAATCAGAAGGCGGGTGGGAGCAAAGAGATCAGAAGGCAGGTGGGAGCAAAGAGATCAGAAGGCAGGTGGGAGCAAAGAGATTGATGTGTGGGAAGAGGCATGGAGGGTTTGACTCACATCGCGGCTGCCAGCATCGCCAAAGTAGACAGGCAGGTCCAAGGAGCGACCTGCACTCACGCGGTCACTGCGGTGGCGAGGAGAGGAGAGAGAGAAGGGGAGAGATGGCACGGGAGAGGCGAGGCAGCGAAGAGGAGAGGATCAGGCGCGCAATCAAGATGACGAACGTGATACAGCAGGTAGGGCAATGTACCATGCGCAGCAGAGGCAGCAGGAAACGTGAGACTGAGGAGAAATGACCATCCTGCCCAGCAACCACGTTACCACGGGCATGTTGGTACCTGCTGACGTCGAGAGCGACAAAGGGGATGAGCCTCTCTGAGAGCAGCTGGCCTATAATCTGAGGGCGCGGGGGCGAGGAGGGGTGGTGGGGGTGGGGGAAGGGGGTGGTGGGGAGAAGAGTGAGGAATGTGGAACGAGGGAATGTGGAACGAGGGAATGTGGAACGAGGGAATGTGGAACACCGGAAGGGAAACAAACGCGGGGGGATTGGGTTCAGGGACAATGGAAGAAGGTAGTTTGCAGGAGACAATGACGGAAACAGAAGGATTACGTGACCCACACGGCAACCGAAGGCTCACCTGACCCACGCGGCCGAAGCCACAGATGATAATGTGGCCTTGCAGGTCGTCAGTCTGACGGGCACATGGCAGGGAGAGGGAGGAGGGGAGAATAGCCGGATGAGGCGATGGGTTGAGTGCAGTCAAACAATTTAGGTTCTTTCAGAACAAAGCAGCTTTGCCTCATGAGATTGCACCCACCCAAACCACAACCAACCCAGCAGCACCCCTCACCTCTGCCTCCTGCGGCTGCAGTGAGCGCACGTCCTGCTGGTCGAAGCGCGACGCTATGAGCTGCCCCACCGCTGCGAGCCATGGCGTGATGGCCATGCTGATGCCCACCACGATGAAGAGCAGCGAGCACAGCTGCGGACTCATGATGCCCTGCGGTGGTGGGGATGGGGTGGAAAGGGATGGGATGGGTGCACGGCGCAGAGTGGGAGTTGAATGGAGGGGGAGGGAAGTGCATGCAAGAGCACAGCGAACACACTAAGGGACGTAGTTGCAAGAGGAACCCCCCTTATGGGCCTCTTACACCCCCCCACCCCCCCCCACCGCGCTCTCCGCACCTCCCTCCCACCCTCACCTTGCTGACAGCCTCCCCGAACGCCACAAACGCAAACTCCCCCCCAGGCGCCAGCAGCAGGCCGGTGCGCACAGCCGCGACGGGCGAGAGGCCGACGAGGCGCCCCATGGCGGCGAGCAGGGCGGTCTTGCCGGCGATGAGGATGGCGATGGCCGCCAGGATGAGGGGGAAGCGAGCAACCAGCAGCTTGGGGTCGATGGACATGCCCACCTGGGGGGGGAGGAAGGGCGCGTTGGAGGGGGGGGAGGAGAGGGCATGCACAGGGGAAGAGTGAGGAATTGGGGGAATGCGAAAGAGGAGAGGAGAGGCACGGGAACTGCAGCTGAAAGCACTGCCTGAGTCAGAGAGAATGCTTGAGTGGAGAAGAAAACAAACGTACCGTCATGAAGAAGAGACCGAGCAGCAGCCCACGATACGGGTTGATATCCGACTCGACCTGCGGTGGAAGGGGAGAGATAGAGATAGGGGAAGGCCGAAGATCAATTGAGAAAGATGGCGAGAGTGTAGCAGCAGTGGTGCTCGGGACGAAAATGGCGAGGCGTAAAGCGATCAAACGGGAGGGAGGGCAGAAGTCAAGGTAAGGGAAGAAGGGCAAGGGAGCCGTAGCGCACAGCACCCACCTGCAGAGCGAACTCAGTCTCTGAGAGCAGCAGGCCCGCAAGGAACGCACCCAGCGCCATGGACAGACCCGCCTGGGAGCAATGAGGGTGGGGGGGCATGGCATAGGGCGCAATGCATGAAGTGTGGTGCAAAGGGAGGCGCAGGATAATGCACGTGCACGTGCACTGACACACAGACAGGGAAGCTCCACGCGCAGCGTGGACAGCATGAATGAAATGAGACGATTTTTTAGGCGCCTCAAACCACGTGGACAGCATGAATGAATCCACGTGGACAGCATGAATAAATCCACGTGGACAGCATGAATGAATCCATGTGGACAGCATGAATGAATCCACGTGCGCCCTTTTCCCCTGCCACACGCCCTGCCGTGAGAGCTCACGCCTGCACCACCATGAGCCGAGTACTGAGGCCCCTCCAACCACCCTCCCCTTGTCTCACCCCTAATCATCACCACACCCTTACAACCCCTACCCCCCCCCCCCCCCCCTCACCCTAGCAGTGAGCACGGACGTGCCGAGCACGACGAGCAGTGTGTTGGCGGCGAAGATCTCAGCGTTGTGGTTCTCCGCCATGCTGCGGTAGATGGGCCGCAGCAGCTGATTCGGATGGGGGGGAGAGAGGGGGGGGGAAGGGGATGGGGAGAAGGGGGAATACGGATATGGATTAGCCAGAACGTACCAGCCGGCCCCAACTCCCAGCCCACCTGGAACCCCAAGCAGGCACAGCCCACTGCTTCGCCAGCTAGAAGAATCAGCACCCACCACCCTGCCCTGAGCCCCAGCCTGCTCTCACCAGTTGCCCCCTTGTGTGCACCCACCAGCCTGCCGCCCGCAATGATGCCTGAGATGGCCACTGCAGCCTTCACTGCTGCCACGCCTAGCGCCTCTGCTATGGCTCCCAGCCCCACGCCCTGGTGGGAGGTAGAGTGGGAAGGGGCGGGGATGGTGGGAGGAGGGCACGGGGGGTGAGACGGAGTGGTGTTGCTGACAGGCCCACGCCCTGGTTGGAGTGCAGAGGGAGGGATAGGGGATGGTGAGAGAGGGGAAACGGAGTGAGAGGGGTTGACTGGGTGTGACAAGGAGAGTGAGCAACAGGGGGAGAGGGGAAAAGTGGAGGGATGACTCAGACGAGCAACAACACGAAATTGTTTTCAAGCATTCCTTTGATTTACACTCTTAATTTTAGACGTGGGCATTTGCACAGCGTGGATGTGGGGGGAGGGGAGAGCGTGGGAGAGAAAATGGGAGAGAAAATGGGAAATGGCGGAAGAAGCGACTCACCCCTTTGGAGGAGGTGGGGGAGAGGAGCGGAATGAGGATGAGCAGCACCACCACCGCTAGATCCTGCAGCACGAAACCCAGGTGGGGGTTGGGGTTTAAGGGGGGGGGGGAGGGAGGGGAAGGTACACAAATGAACAAGCGAGGCTGATTGAATGATGGTGGACATGGGGCAGTGCTGTATGGATGGGAGTGAAGGGCACTCAGTCGTGAACCACTCATGCCGTGAATGTGACCAGGGAGAGGTGTGGGATGGGAACATGGGATAGGGAGGGACGCGGAACTTGATCGATCTGGGAGAGCAGGCAAATACACTCTCAGGAGAGTGGAATGTCAGTTGGGTGCAGAATGGCATGCACGAATTGGTGAGATCAAGATCGGATGGGTGCACACAGGGAGACCTGGAATTGGCGCGCACTGACCTGGAAGAGCAGCACGGAGAAGGTGGCTCGGCCGTGGCGGGACGTGCTCTCACCACGCTCTTGCAGCACCTGAGGGGCCAGGGGTGGCGGGGAGGAGGGAGGCGGAGGCGGAGGTGGGGTGGATTGTGAACCCAAGAGAACGAAAGACACCAGTAGCGTGCAGTTGCGACGGCGGGCGCATGGGATACTGAAATCAGATATGGCAAACAGAGAGTCACCTTGAAACATCAGCGACCCACCTGAGCGTCAACAGAGATGATGAGAGACCCACCTGAGAGAAAGCAGTAACCCACCTGTGAGAAAGCAGTAACCCACCTGTGAGAAAGCAGTAACCCACCTGAGAGAAAGCAGTAACCCACCTGTGAGAAAGCAGTAACCCACCTGTGAGAAAGCAGTAACCCACCTGTGAGAAAGCAGTAACCCACCTGTGAGAAAGCAGTAACCCACCTGTGAGAAAGCAGTAACCCACCTGGAGTACAACGGCAGTTGAGGAGAGTGCGAGGCCGTTGCCGATGACGATGGCTGCTGGGCCCGATCACCCCGCCACTGCCAGCACGCACAGCCCAATCACCAGCGCCGACACCAGCACCTGCCAGCGGTGGACGAAAGAGGAACGGGGGCGAGCAGGCAGGACTAGCGTTGCTGTGACGAGGCGTGGCTTGAGCTGCATGCAACGCTACATTCTGAAGTACCAAGGGTAGGGTGGGTGCAATCAATGTCCCGGCCCGGCGGACCGAAGCCATGATGGGCAGTCAAGGAGGTCAACGCAAGGGCAGAAGGGCCTGTGGGGGGCCGGAGATTGACCGAGAAGAAGAGAGCAGAAAGGGAACAGTGGAGAGATAGGAGTAGGCAGCAGGGAAAGGCTCTCAGAACGTACCTGGGCGGAGCCGAGTCCGAAGACGTATTTGCGCATGGAGCGAAGGCGCTCTAGCGACAGCTGAAGGGTGGTTGGGGGAGGAGTTCGGAAGGGAGAGAGGAACATGGAGTCAGAAGGCAGGAGAAGAGAAGAGGAGAGGGTTGTGGAAATGGCTGACAAAGTCACCTTGTACAATGATAGCCTGCACTGCACAGGAGGTTCAGCGTGGAGAAAGAATAACGAATCTTGGATGCACGCACCTCCAGTCCGATGTTGAACATGAGGAAGACGACGCCGAACTCAGCGAGCGCCTTGGTGCCGTGCACGTGCTTGATGATGGAGAGCGCATAGGGACCGATTAAGGCACCCGCTGTCAGATAGCCCAGCACGGGACTGCCTGAAAAGCATGGTGGGGAGTGGATGGGGAGGGAGGGAGAGTGGCAGCCTTGGTGCCGTGCACGTGCTTGATGATCGACAGCGCGTACGGGCCGATCAGCGCGCCTGCTGTCAGGTAGCCCAGTACAGGACTGCCTGGTGGTGGGGGTGGGTGCGTGTGTGGGTGAGTATGAGAGGAGGGGAGGAGGATGGCAGGGGAGGGAAGAAGACGCTGGGGCTGTGTTTTGTTTTTGAGAATTCTCAAGAATGAAAGCGCCAGAGATGCATGAGAGAGGGCAGCACGGCTCACACGAAGATTGGGCTAGCCAGAGGCACAATGCAGTACTGAGGTGACGCAAGGTGTGGTGTGTGTCAGCATGGCAAACGTGAGGGGTACCTCCTGGCAGCTTCTGGAAGATGGGAACGAAGACCACACTGGCCAGCAGCAGCCACAGCACGTCAAACAGCTGCGTCTCCTCCTCGTTCGGCTGGGGGGGGGGAGGAGAGAGGAGGAAGAGGGGAGTGTAGCAAGGGGATAAACGGGGGGTTGGGGTTTAAAGCACAGGGCAGGGAAGGCAGTGCAGAGAGCAGGGAAAGAACGGCTAAGCTGGATGAAAACTGCAAGGAGAAAGGGGGGAGAAAGAGACAAAGAGGAGGGGGGGCAACGGGGGGGGGGCAACTGGGGGCGGTATTCAGCTCCCTGCATGGCACTCACCTCGTGTCTGGGCAGTTTGTCAATGAGGGCCTTCACTCGCCCCACCACCGACTGCACCGCCGACACCACCGGGTTAGCCGACGCCACACGCCCTCGCGCCTGCAGCTGTCCCCCTGCCGCCCCCGCCCCTGCTTGCACAAAGCCCTCCACTGCACCCTCCACACCCTCCTGCACGAGCGCTGCTCCCACCTCCCCTGCTCCCACTCCCCCCTGCGCTGCACCCACCCCCTGCCCCTGCACGGCTTCCATCTGCACCACTGTGGCGGGGGGCGTGTGCACCGCTGCTCTGTGCGCCATGCGCGCTCTCAGGGCAAACCCGCTGGGATGGGGGAGAGGGGAGGGAAGACGGGGGCACGAGATGGGACGGAGCCACAGGAAGAGCATAGGGGTGCGGGGACAGAGTGAGTAAAGAAGCATGATGCTTGGTTCACCCTCTCAGTGTGAGCACAGGTGTGTAATGTCTCACGGAACACTTACCCAAAGAGAAGTACGGAGAGCGCGAGCAGCAGCTTGGGCAGGTGCGTGAGCAGCGAGGGCAGCCCAGTGCGCACCCACTTGAGCGCGTCCTGCACCTCGTGGCCGTCCGCGGAGAAGAAGGACGCCGAGAAGAACCGCGATGACTTCTTGGACGACGAGGAGGAGGAAGAAGAGGAGGACTTGGATGATGGGGAGGAGGGGGAAGCGGGAGGAACGGCAGCGGGTTCATCTGAGCCAGGCACTGCTGCTGCCACTGCAGCAGCAGCAGGTACCTCCTCGACCTCCTCTGCTCCCGCCTCCCCTGCATCACCCTTGATCCCATCTCCAGCACCGGTTTCTGCTCGGCCTTGAGGTACCGAGTCAGCATCCACTCTCCCCTTCTTTCCCTCCTTCCTCGCATCCTTCACCCCCTCACTCACCGCCCCAGTCCGCCCGACCTCTCCATCCACCCTCGTCGCTTCCTCCCCTCCAACCTTCGCCCCCTTCTTCCCCTTCCCCTTCCCCTCCTTCACCACAGCCTCTGCAACATTTTCCGCCACACCGTCCCTCGCCGCCCCGTCCTTCGCACTCTCCCCCTCGCGGTCGGACTCACTGCCCGAGTCACCGCCCTCGTCCCTGTCTGAGTCGCCATCCGGGCCCCTGGTCGAGTCCCTGTCGGAGTCGCTATCGGAGTCGGTGGTCGGCATGCCAGCCGCCGCCCTGCCGCCCTTCACCGTGGCCCTCAGCGCGGCCGACACCCCCGCCACCTCACTTGCTAGCAGCGCCGCCTTCTCCGCCCCTAGCTTCGCTGCCTCTGCCTCCGCCTGGTATTGGAGGGACAGGGGAGGGGGGGGTCGTAACTGACGCAAGGAGGTGACAAGTAAAAGACATCCGTGACGGGCAAGATGCAAGCAACGGACTCTGTTTGTCAACCCCATTTCAGCAGCGACAGACCCCATTTCGTCACTTAGCAGCAGACTCTATCCCCTTATTCCTCCCCGCCCCCCACCTTGGCGATGTCAGAGACCAGCTTTTCCGCCCGCGCGAGCGCCTTGGCGGCCTCCGCCACGCTCTGCCGCGCCTCCAGCTCGAACGCCACCGCCCGCTCTGCAACGCCCATCCGCTCCCCCACCTCCTCCTCCGCCTCCCCGCACGCGCCCGTGCCTCCCCCGCTGCCGCCGCCAGCGTCGCCGCCTCCCCCTGTGCCCTTATCCTACGTTCAGTCGCCCCCGCTGCTGCCTCCCTCCGCGCTCTCAGCTCCGCCTCCCGCCTCCCCAGCTCCTCCCGCGTCTCCTGGACGGAATTAACTAAGCTGGATCGCAGGCTTTCACCTTCCTGCCCCCCCTGCTCCGCCATCCCCCCACCCGCCGCCTGCAGCTGCGCCTCCGCTGCCGCAAGCGCCTCCTCCTGCTGGTAAAACGCCACGTCAGCCTGCCTCAGCGCATCCTGCGCCAGCGCCTCCTCCGCCAGCTCCGCCTCCATCTGCGCCCGCGCGGCTTCCGCCGCCGCTTCCGCCTTGGCGACAACGTCAGACAGCTCTATGGCGCGTTCCGCCACCCTCCGCGCCTCCTCCTCCGTCTCAACGGTCCGCGCGCTCGCCTTCTCCAGCTCTGCCTCCGCCGCCCGCAGCAGCTCGCGGAGCTTATCGAGCGCGGACGACCCCCCCCCGCCGCTGCTGCTACTAGAGGTTTTGGCGCGCGCATTAGGCTCAACGGCGGCTGATCCTGGTGTGACGGGAGGGGTTCAAGAGGACGCAGCGTTATTTTTTCAGAAAGAAACTCTTATGCAGTCGACACCAAGCAGATCTGTGAGGGACGAGAAATTGCTCGAAACCACGGAGTCGATAAGGAGGGTTACGGCTCATATTGAGACACAAAGTAAGTACCTTTGGAGGACGGGCTCGCGGGCTCCTGAGGGCCTCCTGACACGCCAGGCTTCTCCGCCGCGAGTTCGACCGCCTCTGCAGACGTCGGATAATCCGCTCCGACATCGCCGTCAGCCGCTGCACGCACGGCGAGGTGCTGACGTGGACGAGTGGATCGCAATTGCAGAGCTGGTACTGACGGGGATGCGGTACGAGCGATCTGCGAGTTTACGCGACGATCAGCGACGCTGTGCGTCTGAATGCGACTCTGCGGAGAGGAACGCGAGGCATTGCGGCGACGAGCGCGTTGCGAGGGTGTTGGCGTGGCGAGGAACGATCGCGCTGTTTCAGACGCGCCGACTGAACCCGCGAGGCTAACGGGATGCATCGCGATAGCCCAGTAATTCCCCCCTGAAGCTTCGCGTACAATACAGGATCGAGGAATTAGAGCCCAAGAGAAATAATGCACCTGATACTAATGATCAGCCAGGTAGCCTGAATTGCCTGATCATGGCCATTTTCCGAGGAGCTCGTGCTTTGCAAGTGGCCGGAAAAGCTCCCAAGCTTAGGGATCAATAGGAGAAGCGGCGCATAATTCCTCCAATGTGATCTTTCCCACACCAAGGCAGCAGACTGGCTGCTGATTAGTCTGGCTGGCACTGCCCCCCAAACCCAAAGCAAGTGACAGTGACAGGGCAAAAAACCCAGGAGCCACGCTAGCAGGTAGGGATTGGCTGGGGGAACTTTGTGGCTGTCTTTCGTGCCGCGCACGAGGCTCGGCGCCCTAAAGCGCACTGAGGTCCGGCTGGTGACAATATCGAGGGCCAGAGGTGGTGGAGCGACAGGGCTATGCTTTGGTGTTTGCCGTGCCTGTGACCCGAGCCCGAACCTGGAGCTGTGGAGGTTTGCTCAGAGAGCCAGCCAGCCAGGGAATATCCATGTCAGCCAGTTCAGGCGGAAATATCCGATTCCCCCAAAGCAGGGATGAGAAAATAGGCTTGTTTTTGAAATTCTTGCTCTTTTTAGCATCCTTGTTCCTTTGTCTACAAGATTCGTGGGAACATTCTGAACCGCCACGAGCATCCTGATAACGAGTATGACTGCCCTTTGGGGCTGTCGGTCGTCCAAGTGCCTTCCATAACTGTCTTGCTCATCTCGTAGACTCGTACCAATATGCCCCTAGCATCCGCGTACCAAGCTCCGTCTGGCTCCTATTCTCGTGCGATTGACACGCAGCACAACGGTACCGCGGCCCGCCTCCGTCTGGACCATTCTTTGTTCTTGCATTGCCCTGCGCACTCGACGGCGTCATCGGCGCATACGAATTTGCGTCGGCACGCGGTAGCACCTGGTCGCGGTAGCTTTCGGAACGCAGTAGCACCTCAACGCGGTAGCCCTCGGTCGCGGTAACACTGGCAGTCCGCCCTCACTCCTGATTTGAATTCAACTTGCCGCACGCTCGTCGGTCGTCATGGTACGTCAGTCCGCATCGCGTGACCTCCGGAAACCGCGACGCTGATTACTCCCCTTCCCTCCGCTCGCACGCATCGCCCTGCGACACTGGCGACAATTTCTCCGGGAAACTGCAATATTTCCAGCGAATTCCCCAACCCACCTCTCCCGTCACGCGGCTCACCTCCACTCCCTGCCCATCCAGGACCTTTCTTGATGTCCCCGCCCCTCTTCTTTCCTTCACCCTAATCTCCCCTCTTGCCTCAACCCCCTCCCGTGGGCAGTCGATGTACATCCGTGCGAAGCGGCGCGTGACGACGTACTTCGTGTACTGCGAGCCGTCGCACAAGGTGCTGCAGGTGAAGCACAACCTCGAGGTGCTGTGCGGCCAGCCGCCCAGCGACATGCGCCTCATTCTGCTGCACACCAACGCGCTGCTGGACGACAACAGAACGCTGGCGGAGCAACGGGTAAGGTGGACATGCAGAGGTAGAGCAGGCTGGGAGAGCGAAGGGAAAGGAGGACAGGTGGCTGGAAGGTTGAGAATGGTTCGGCTGATTCTGCTGCACACCAACGCGCTGCTGGACGAGAATAGGACGCTGGCGGAGCAACGGGTAAGAAGGACAGGTGAAGTGGCTGGGAGGTAAAGAGACGTTTGGCTCGTTCTGCTGCACGTGGCCATGATGACTCTTGGCTGACCTCCGTACTTGGGACGAACCTCCATTTGCTGCCCAGCGTCCAACTGCAGGCCACTCCTCTGTGCTTCCCCGTGTGCTGCTGCTCTGTGCTTCCACGTGTGCTGCTGCTCTGTGCTTCCATGTGTGATGCTGCTTTGTGCCTCCCCATGTGCCACTCCTCTGTGCGTGACTGCGTGCGTCCTCCCATCCGTGCCTCCCGCCATGCCACAGGTGGAGAACGATGCCGTGGTGGCCCTCACCTACCGCCTCTCAGGTTCGCCTCCTCCCTTGTCTTGCCCCCCCTCTGCTGTAGGCATTGCCTTTCTTCATCTCCTCATGCGCATTCCCTGACCTGAGCCATACCCCATTGCTTACAAGTAGTGTTTCCCCTGCGACTGCCTCTGCGCTTACCTCTCCTGCTGCCTGCGTTGTGTGAGTGCAGATGACAACGAGTGGGAGCCGGTGTGCATAGAGAAGCCCGACGATGGTGCAGTTGACATGGACCACATGGGCTGACTCATGTAGGGACCGCAGTGAATGTACGGTATGGTATACAAATATCACCTCTTATGGTGTGTGTCGAGTGTGATCTTTACCATTGCTTTCTGTGCACCGTTTTTTTTTCCAAATGACAAGCCCATCATGCATACAGCTTACATAATTACTTCTGAGAGGAGAAGGTGGTCGTAGAGCAATCCCAGAGGTACCGTCAGCCCACCATACGACACATGTGAATCGCATACATACATGCATACATCCTTGCATGCATACACAGCAGCGAGGCGGCTGCATCGCTGCTGCACTCTTCCTCAAGCAGGTGGGCTGGGGAGAAACGACACATAAATATGATACCTATTGCAGTCATTGCGTGCTACGTTCGCTGCTCATTTCCATCCTCACCTTCTCTCCCTTCTTAGCTCCCTTTCTCCCCTCTTACCGGTTTCACTCCGTGGACATGGAGTGCCATGAGCGCACCTGGACATAGCAGGGTGTGTGGAGTGTGGGGGACCTGTGCTTTCTCTGACTACTGTACTTGTCCCTCATCTCGTTTCCTTCTCTTCGTGGCAGTTCTCGAGTGAGGGGATACCATGGACGCACCTGGACATTGCCAGGGCCGGTGTGGAAGAACGGCATGTTTTCCTCTCAACTCTTTTTCCATCGGCGCGTGACAAGGGCGGAGGCACTGACGTCGCTGCCAGCCTGCTCTACCACTGGGTGGACTCGCACTCCTCTTAGGGCTCGCATCCAGTTGAATTCAAGGGATAATTAGCCGTCGCGCTGGTTATGAGACGCATCGCCTCGAAGCTGGGGTGAGAAGGGTGGAAACACTAGATTTGCTGTATTGCTGCTGGTTCTGCTGTACCTCTGGGCTTCGGTACAGAGTTGCTCACTGCTGAACTGCTGCAGGGGTACCCACATATAAAACTGTTTAAAATTATATATTGAGATATATAATGTGTAGGCTTGGTAGATTAGATGTTACTGAACATTACTGTAGGGGGTACAATTGTCAAACATGTTTATTGATCATGTTTGTATAGACTGTATAGGGTAACCTCCTAGAGGGTACAACATTTAGGTATATGTGCATGTACTCTCTAACTCTATCATTCATTCAATTCTAGTTTTGAGATGGTATCACGCGTAGGTTTCGACCCCCCCCCCACCTACCGCTTCCGCTCCTCCCGTCGCGTCTCCTCGCCTAGCCTCGCCCCTCCTAGGCCCAGTCACGACCCCCCCCTAGCCCCGCTGTGCTCCTCTCAGGCCTCGTCACGCCCCTTCCAGGCGTCGTAGCGCCCCTCCAGGCCCCGTCGCGCCCCCCTTCCAGGGCTTCGTAGCGCCCCTCTAGGCCCCCGTCGCGCCCCTCCTGGGCTCTGTAGCGCCCCTCCAGGGCCCCGTCGCGCCCCTCCTGGGCCCCTTAGCGCCCCTCCTGGGCCCCGTCGCGCCCCTCCTGGGCCCCTTAGCGCCCCTCCTGGGCCCTGTCGTGCTCCTCTCAGGCCCCGTCGCGCTCCTTCCAGGCCCCGTCGCGCTCCTCCCAGGCCCCGTCGCGCCCCTTCCAGGGCTTCGTAGCGCCCCTCCAGGCCCCGTCGCGCCCCTTCCAGGGCTTCGTAGCGCCCCTTCTGGGCTTTGTCGCGCCCCTCCTGGGCTTGATAGCGCCCCTCCCAGGCCCCCGTCGCGCCCCTCCCTGGGCCCCTTAGCGCCCCTCCTGGGCCCCGTCGCGCCCCTCCTGGGCCCCTTAGCGCCCCTCCTGGGCCCTGCCGCGCTCCTCCCTGGGCCCCGTAGCGCCCCTCCTGGGCCCCGTCGCGCCCCTCCAGGGCCCTGTAGTGCCCCTCCTGGGCCCCGTCGAGCCCCTCCTGGGCCCCGTCACACCTGCTCGGCCCCGTCGCCCCAGCTCGGCCCCGTCGCAGCCGCTCGGCCCCGTGGCGCCCGCCCGGCCCCTGTCGCACCCGCCCGGCCCCGTCACGCCCGCCCGGCCCCGTCGCCCTCGCCCGGCCCTGCTGTGTCCTGCCCGGCCCCGTCGCAGCTGCCCGGCCTTGTCGCTGCCGCTCGGCCCCGTCGCAGCCGCCCGGCCCCGTCGCAGCCGCCCGGCCCCGTCGCAGCCGCCCGGCCCCGTCGCGTCTGCCTGGCCCCTCGTCGCGCCTGCCCGGCCCCGTCGCGCCTGCCCGGCCTCGTCGCGCCTGCCCGGCCCTGTCGCGCCTGCCCCGGCCCTACATACTTCCTGGTACTGTCCCCCGTTCCCCGCACCGCTTTGCACCCTCCTGCACTTCCCTGCCCCGCCTTGCACCGCATTGCACCTCACTGGACCGCACTGCACCGCACTGCACCGCACTGGACCGCACTGCACCGCACTGCATCGCACTGCACCGCACTGGACCGCACTGCACCGCACTGCATCGCACTGCACCGCACTGCACCGCCCTGCACCGCACTGCACAGCACTACACCGCACTTCACTGTCCTACACTGCCCCTGATGGCTGCTGAGCTTCGTTTTGATGCTGAGGGTCAGCCTCTGGAGTTCGAGGCGTGGTTGGCTGACCTTCGCCGCCACCTCACTGGTCAGCGGCAGGACGGCCACCCGCTTTCTGACCACCTAGACGGTATGCTCCCCTGCCCTGACCCCCCTGCTGTGCTGCCCGCTGATCCCACGCCCGCTGAGCGCGAGTCCACTGCCGCCGCTGCCCTTGCCTGCTCTGTCTGGCTTTCCCGCAATGCCCTTGCTCAGCTCGCCATTAGCAATGCCCTCCCCCCCCCTGAGCGCCCTCGCTTTAGAACCATTACTACCGCCCAGGCCTACCTCGATGCTGTCATCAAGCGCTATTCTACCCCTCCTGCTGCCTCAGTGGGTCGCCTGATCCTTCCCCTGCTCTTTCCTGACCTTGCGTCATTCCCCACTGTCTCTGAC